TCTTGATGAGTCAGAGATGACTCGATGGCACCTAACAACAACAACAATGCCCCTGAGGGTGATCTAAGTGGCTGTATGTACCAGTAGTTCAGTATTTTCTATTGCTGAGTAGTACTCTATTGTAGGGATGTCCCACACTTTGTTTATTCATTTGCCCACTGAAGGACATTTAGCTTGTTTTCAGTTTGTGGCAATTACAAACAAGGCTTCTATGAACATTCATGTTCAGCACATTTTTTCTTTTTGGTATTAAATTGATATACTATAGATTATTCTGCAAATTCCTAACCTTTATTGAGAACTATATGCCAAGACACTAAGTGTCTTACATCTACAACAAAATCCTCAGAACTCTACCATTATAACACCAGCTTTCAAAGGAGAAAGATGGGGCATAGAGAGGTTAAATAACTTGCCCGAATTCAAACAGTAAGTGGCTTAGGAGTCGAACTCATGCAGTATGATGCCAGATCTATGCTCTTAGACACTAGGCTCTTCTCCCTTTCTAAAAGATGGTAATATTTATATATGCCAGGCATTGTATTAAGTTTATTACAATTATTTTCTCCTTTGATACAATAACATCTATGAAGAAGGGATTCTTTATAGATTTGATTGATTTTAACTACTCTGTTTTAGGACCAGTCCTTCACAAGATTGTAACCTTGGTGACTATTTTTTTGTTTGTTTTTTTAACTCAGCTATTTTTTTAAAAAAATGTGGTAAAAATGTATATAACAAAACATTGGCCTTTCACATTTTTCACATGTATAATTCAGTAGCATTGATCATGTTCATCATGTAGTGCAACCATCACCACTAATCATTTCCAGAAACTTTCTTCTTTCTCCTTTGCTCCAGGCAGGAAGAGACCATGAAGTGATTTTTCAAACTTGTACTTGGCTGCTAACTAAAATATTGGAAGTTTGAACAAGTGGCATCATGAAAGAAAGTAATTTGCTTCAATAAAGATGCAGCCAAGAAAACAGTATGGAACTCAGTCCTACTCTGTAACATATAACATGAATCAGAGTTGGCTCAATGATGATGGATTTGGTTATGTTTTTTGGTTTTATTTCACTTACTTTACTTAATATACCTCATTTACTAAGTCTCAGGACTGAGTCAGGAAGACTATATGGCAGGTGTGTCAGTTAAAGTCCAGTCAGGAAACACAAACTACATCTAGTATTTTTATAAACAAAATATTTTATTTAGGAAATCAAATACACAGGCAAATCCTGAAATCGACTAACGGAGAAAAAAGATGGATACTGAATTAACACAGATATTATTAACTGTAGAAAGAAGTTATTTCCATAGGACAAGTGAACAAGGTGGAAAAGAGATGTTACCATAACCTAGGCACTCAGCAGAGGGACAACCATTTATCTAATGCTCAGATCTCTTATAAGGGCTGCTAAACTCGACGGCACATAACAACAACAACAACAGCAAACAGTGAATACTTGGTCCTCACCTGGTGAAATGACTCATATTTTCATTCCTGAGAGATCTGAGTCCTTTGCAAAAAAGAAAGTCGGCATTAGTTCTAACACATGACCACCCCATGGTCACAGAGTAAAACTGCTGCACACAATTTTCTTTCTTTCTTTTTTTTTTTTTTTTACAGTATTCCCTCCCCTCCCTTCCTACTCCTGGCAACCAACAAAGGAAGTTTTCTTGCATAGATAAACCTTTCCTTGACTTTTTACAATAATGAACTAACACAATATTTGTCATTCTGTGATTGACTTATTTCACTCAGCATAATGTCCTCCAAGTTCATCCACGTTATGTGGTATTTTGCAGACTCTACATTATTAGTCTTTAGTGTTGCATAGTATTCCATTGTGTGCACATAGTTTGGTTATCCATTCTTCTGTTGATGGGCACCTAGATTGTTTCCATCTTTTTGCTATTGTAAATAGTGCTGTGATGAACATGGGTGTACATGTATCTGTTCTTGTCCTGGCTCTCACTTCTTTAGGATATATACCTAGTAGTGGGATTGCTGGGTCATCTGGTTCCTGTTTGCAAGGGGAATGGTTTCAGTTTCTCTCCATTGAGAATAATGTTGGCTGTTGGTTTTGCATATATGCCCTTTATTGTATTGAGGAATGTCCTTTTTATTCCCATTTGCTGAGAGTTTTTAATCAGGAATGGATGTTGGATTTTCTCAAATGTCTTTTCTGCATTGATTGATATGATCATGTGGTTCTTTCCTTTCTTTTATTTATGTGATGGATGGTGTTGATTGTTTTCTTAATGTTGAACTTCCCTTGCATACCTGTTATGAACGCCACTTGGTTATAACATTATTTTTTGGATATGTTGTTGGAGTCTATTGGCTAGGATTTTGTTGAAGATTTTTGCATCTATATTCATGAGGGATATTGGTCTGTAGTTTTCCTTCTTGGTGATGTCTTTGCTTTAGTGATGGTTTTGGTATCAAAGTTATGCTTGCTTCATAAAATGAATTTGGGAGGATTCCATCCTTTTCTATGTTCTGGAATAGTTTGAATAGGATTGCTGTCAGTTCTTCTCTGAACATTCAGTAGAATTCTCCAGTGAAACAGTCTGGGCCCAGGCTTTTTTTTTGTAGGTAATTTTTTTATGACCTGTTAAATTTCTTCTTTTGTTATGTTGTTGTTGTTATGTGCCATCCAGTCGGACCTGACTCATAGTGATCCCTTCTTGGGTTTCTGAGGCAGTATTACTACGGAAGTAGATTGTTATGGGTTTGTTCAAATTTTCCACCTCAGTCTGTGTTAGTTAGATAAGTAGTATGTTTCCAGAAATCTGTCCATTTCTTCTAGATTTTCAAATTTGTTGGGATATAGTTCTTCATTGTATCTTGATATTATCCTTTTACTTTCTGTTGGTTCTGCTGTGATGCTTCCAATTCATTTGTTATTCATGTTATTTGTATTCTCTCCCTCTTTTCCTTTGTTAAATTCGCCAGTCAGTGGTTTGTTGATTCCAGTAATCTTTTTTAAAAAAAAACAACTTCTAATCTTGATTTTTTCTATTGTCTTTCTATTTTCTGTTTCATTTATTTCTACTCAGATCTTTATTATTTCCTTTCTTCTGGTGACTGTAGGCTTTTTTTGCTACTCTTTTTCTAATTGTTGGAGGTGTTGGGTGGAGGTGTTGATT